ACAAAGTGTGACGTCACGCATACCAATAGCGTACGAGTAGACGTGGGTATATTACATCGGCGTGTCACACTGTGTCAAAATTTTTTAAGCATTGCAAAAAAAATATTTCGTTATTCTAAGACTAATAATTTTTGTTTCAACAAATGTATCGGCATCGTGTCATATTGACATGGGTAATTATTGTGTCGTTCTTCTAAGATTCGTTTGCGATGAAACCAGTGATTAATCGAATGTATACTATTCCTTTTACAGGACTAACTAAACAATCACCATTAGATTATCTTTTTCTAGGTGAATAATGAATTAAAACATAAAACTGAAAGTTTATAAATATGAAACAGTATGAAATAAAAGTAATGGTGATCTGACTTTATTATAAAATTACAGATATGAAATAATATACAATGAATGAAAGTATGTCTAATAAGCAGCGTTTCCATCATGGTCTGATTTCAAAGTGAGAAATACAATAATAAAAAATTTGTCAACTATTTGTATACTTTTACAGAAAGTTTGGAATGTTGATGATGAAGCAGAGAATTAATTATACAGATTAACATACATAAATATTAAAAAAATTGGATACTTATTATCGTAAAATAAAACGTTAAATCTTGCTTTTCAAAGTTTAATGACTGGTCTTTTTCCAATTCATCTTAATCTAAATAAAAAAAATTGCTCATGTAGTTGAAAATGTTTTTTTTGTGCTATTGCTGTATGTTCATTAGGAGAATGAGATTCGAAAATAGATAATGATCAAGAACAAGCACATGAATTTGGATAAGCAGCTGTTCAATGTATGCGTATCCACTCAGACAAGCAACGAAAAATAGCGCGTAAAAACGCGTTAAAATTTCTAACGAAAATAAAATCGTAAAAATGTGCGATTCTTACGCGTTATTTTTTGTTGCTTGTCTGACCGGGTAGAATTCGTAATTGTCAGATGAAACAAGTAAAAAAAAGTATTTCGAAAAAAAAATAATTTAAACGAAACAAATTGACTTATTTTTATTTATGTTGAAATATTTAAAAGCGAACAATCATCAAAAGATATCTTATATTCAAAATTCAATGTAGGCGATCATATTGAAGTTGAAGGAACTTATGAAGTTCGTCAATTACAAATATGTGCTGTATCAATTTTTAAACATTTGTAGAAATGATTATTACATCACATCTTCAAGTATAAACATAAAAAAGAAATGATTGAATTTTTAATATATCATTTTTTTAAAGACTACCTTTCTATGGACGAAGTTAATTTTGTTCAACAATTTGTTTTTACAATGAATGTATTTATCGTTATATTTGATTATAATATATGCGAACGAGGAGATAAATTTAATACAAATACATTGTGAACTACATGTTAGGTAAAGAATATGACATATTCATTGTTGATTGAGGAATATATAATACCATTGTTGTTGTCATTATTATGACAATAGAATATGTAGCATAAAAAGTATCACCACCTGTTTAACATGAATGGCCTGTTGGTCAATCACATATGGAATCCATTCAGTGAAAATTCAAATGCAGCTGGTCGCAAAATTTTTATCTAAATCAATGGCTAATCATAACCAGAAGGAAAGAAATAAGACTTTAAAAAAAAAAGGAAAATGAGGACAACAAGGAAAAACCAGGAAAAGAAATAAAACGAGGATTATCACAAACTAGACTAAGTTCAATGTTTTAAATTCATTAATTTCATAGATAAATTAATGATATTCAGCTGATGCACCATCAGTTACATCACTACCACGAACACCTTGTTTTGCTTCAATAAATATATCAAGTTGTCGAATAACTGTAAGTGTTCTTTGTACAAAATCATCAACATTTATGATAATAATCGATGATGAGCCTGTTGTACCAGTACTTGATGAATATGTTGATCTAATAAAATAAACAAAATTTTTTGATAAAAATCAAAACTAATATCTACTGTTGTTCAAGTAAATAATCGTTGATGTGAAATTCACCAAGTACTGGCTTGTCATTGATCTAGATTTTCAAATTAATTAATTAATTATTAATTAATTAAACTTTTTTTTTTACCATCATATTAATCGAATATAAATATTCTTGTATAATATCAGCATCATTTGGTGTTTCATTATCACTTGATTCTTGACTAGAGGTCTGCAGGTTAAGGTATTTTGACAACCTGTAACCTGCCCTGCTGAGATTTTGGCAACCTGTAACCTACCCTGCCCTGTGAATTTTTTTCGTACCCTGCCCTGCCCTGCCCTGCCCTGCTGATATTTTGGGAACCTGTAACCTGCCCTACCCTGCCCTGCTTTGTCTAACACTACAGAAAAATCGAAACTTTCATGTCAATTTTATATGCAATTTCATCCACTTTATTTCAGAGATAAGGCAAAAAAGCAATGCCACATATCCCGAAAATTTTTAATCATCAAAATATCAATAATACCATCTGGAGTTAATGGTTATCTTCTTTTTTTTCGTTCAACATCTTTTTCTGAATATGACATGGACGATATTTTACATGCACGAAAATCTGACTAATATTGTTGATGATATTTGAGAGATTAATTTATGATGAAAATGTGGAAAAGTATAAGATACAACTCAAAATTAGAGAAATCAACGTGCATTTGAGTAGCT